ATTTTTAGATCGTCTTCTTTCATAATCTCAAGTTTGTTGTAATAATCCCCTGAAATAGGAACAATGCGCCCAAAATTAAGGAAAGAAGGACTATAACCTGTAACATCGTGCACGGAATTCCGAATAGCATGAGCCACCTTGAATATTTCTAAATCCCAATTACGATGGTTGTCCGTAACATATGATCTAATGGCGGTGCCAATAACCCGATTGACCCTCTCTACAAAATTTACTTGCGGATGGTAGTTAGCATTATACCACACTTGAGGAATGTTATAATTTTTTATTAAATGTTTAAATTGTGAACTGATAAATTGTGGTCCATTATCTACCATGCATATTTGAGGTACTCCAAAAATTAGGAAAACATCATTTTCTAAAAAATCTACAACTGCTTTGGCATGCGCTTGTCGAACTGGTTTAAGTAATACAAATTTTGTAAACCAATCTGCTACCACAATGATACTCGTGTTCCCCTTTAATGAACGAGGTAATGGCCCTATGATATCAACTGATAGGCATTGAAATGGATAGCAAACTTTTTTTTCCTGTCCCATTAAACCCGGCCTACTGAGCTGAGAAGATTTATTCGCAGCACATATCTCACAACGCCTAACATACCGCGAAACGTCCGCCCTCATCTTAGGCCAATAATATTGTTCGGATAATTTTTGGTACGTTTTTAGAGCTCCTAAGTGCGAAGAGGTTGGATGGTCGTGCATTTTATTTAATAATTGGTTTCGTTTGGATTTGGGAACTAATTGTTTCCACTCAGTTAAATTTGAAACTACATTATGCTGATTTGGAACATATTTAAAGATCAGTTCATTTTCACACCGCCAATCTGGAAATTTTTCTGGGAATTTTTTAATTTCGTTTAACATCTTTTGGTAAAATCCATCAAAATCGTTAGGTGTAATTTTAAGTGCACAAACTTCTACCGGCGACCTAGATAGGGCATCTGGGACAATATTTATTTTTCCCTTGCGATGTATAACCGTAAAAGAATATTGGGAAAGTCTCATACTCCACCTAGCTAATCTACCTGAAGGATTGCGCATTTGCATTAGCCAAATAAGGGAGTAGTGATCGGTGATAACATGGAAATGGGTACCTTCTATGTATCCCCTGAACTTTTCGATACCAAACAAAACCGCTAAACACTCTCTTTCTGTTACCGAGTAATTACGTTCTGTATTTGTTAGCGTTCGCGAAGCATAAGCAATAACACGATCGTCATCTTGTGTCAACACACAACCCACACCATAACCAGAGGCATCACATTGCAGACTAAACATTTTATTAAAATCAGGACTAGCAAGTATCGGAGCTGAACATAAAATAGTTTTTAAAGAGTTAAATGATTTATCAGCTTCAGTGGTCCAATTAATCTTTTGCCCTTTGAATTTCCCTTTTATGAGATCGGAAATGGGTGCAGAAATGGTAGAAAAGTCTTTAACAAACCGCCGGTACCATCCCGCCATACCTAAGAATCTTTTAATTTCCTTGGTAGTTGTAGGTTTTGGGAATTCGCGAATTGCTTGAACCTTACTAGGGTCAGTATGTAAACCATTTTTATCTACCAAGTACCCTAAATAATTAAGACTCGACCTGCAGAACTGACATTTCTCGATATTAATAGTGAGGTTGGCTTCTTGCAGTTTAAGAAAAACTTCCTTTAATAGAGTAATGTGTTCCCCGAAAGTGGATGAAATGATAATAATGTCATCTAAATAACAAAAAATTTTCTCCCCCAATAGAGGCCCAAACAAAGTGTCCATAAGACGCTGCTGTGTAGCAGGCGCGTTAGCGATGCCGAAAGGTAGCACTGTGTATTCGTACAGCCCTCGACGAGGAACCACAAAAGCTGTTTTCTCACATGAATCTGGGTGTAACGGTATTTGGTAAAACGCTTGTTTTAAATCAATAGAGGTTAGATACCGCGCGTCTCGCAAACCGTCCAAAATACTGTTTAGATAGGGCAAAGGGTAAGCATCCCTTTTTGTAACGCTGTTCAATTTGCGACCGTCGAAACATAAACGATATTGTTCAGGATTACTGCCTTTCTTGCGAACAAGTACCATAGGCGAGCTCCAAGGTGATTTGGATGGTCTCACAATACCTTCTTTTAACATTCGATCTAATTCAGCATCGGCATGTTTTTGCATGGCTGGTGAAAGAGGATAAAACCGCTGTTTGATCGGTTGCGCATCACCTACATCAATAAAATGTGACACTAAATTTGTCCTACTTAAGCATGGTCCCGAAATATTTTTAAAATTATCGATGACTGTGTCTAATTCCAACTTTTGTTGTTCATCCAAATCATCGATTCCGTGAAGAGCACGCAATGCCGAAACGTTTGTTACTTTAAAGCTATCGGTACTAAAATCAGTTTTGAATCCAAAAGCATAGCACGCGTCCATCCCCAAAATTAGTGGATTTAAAATACTTGAACATGCTATAGCATTAATAGATTTACAAACGCCATCAATAATAATAGGAAGTTCAACAGTTCCCAAAACTTTTTGATCTTTACCGTCAGCTGTCGAAAGGTAATATTCATGACCATTACTTTTCAGAATAAGATTGAATTTTTTAATTAAATACAAACCATTACTTCCAAGAATAGTCTGGTTTGCACCCGAGTCGAACAGAGCACGAATTCGTTCGCCGCAAATAGAAAGTGATATGTAAGGACGGCTGTCATGTTTGTTATGTACAAAATTGGAACAAACTTTTGGAAATGGTTTGTAAAATGTATTGACAGTATGCAGCCAATTTTTCCACGATTTAGTTTCAGCCATAAGATCATTACATGACAAGGAGTGGCTGCTAATATCCTTGTCCGTAATTAGTTTTTTGGATTACAACGAGGACAGCTACTATAATAAACATTTTTATGACCGCAGACGTAACAAAAAACTTTTCGTTCTTCCAAGCAAGTGTGAAATGTATGCCCTTTATTCCCGCAATTGTAACAAGAAGTCGTAGGTTTGGCTGTATTAGGTTTAGAATTAATAGTAATTTGCTTTTTTGAACTTTGAGCACCGAGGGTATTGACTTGTGTTTTTTTCAATGCAGGCTTATACATTAAATCGGGTTCCAATTTAAATGACGGTCCCGCTGAAGGATTACGATACCGTGAATTTTGTAATCTAGTCTCTTCAAGACGTTTACAACACTTATGAAGTTGTTCTAAGGAATTTATGTCAACTAGACTAAGTTGAGTTGCATAGTAGGGTTGTAAATTTCGCAAAATGTATTTTAACTGACAATTTTCAGAAGGTCTTTCTACTAATCGGTCAAACATGTTTAGCATTGACGCTATGTAAATACTTGGTTTTTCATCCTGCCCCTGCTTACGGCGCTTTATTTCTTCCCATAACTCATCGTCGAAATTTGTTGGTAGGAAATCATATCTTAATTTATTTACTAATTCTTCCCAAGTGGACACTCGGGTTCTGATAGCACGAAACCAAACTAAACCATCCCCCTTGAAAAGATCAACAGCACTATCAAACAACTGTTCGGTAGAAATGTGCCGAGCAATTCTCAATTCATTTACACGTTGCAAAAATGAGTTTACACCTAATTCATTTACGTCCCCTGTGAATGCCAATCCCCATTTATACACTGGCACAGATTTTGACCCGGTTACATATGACGCATTAGCATAATTTCGGTTGGGAGGGAGCTCTGTAAATTGAAGACGATCTAGCTCTCGTCTTAAATGATCCAATCTTTGCGAGATATTAACGTCATTATTATTATTAGCTAGCGCACCAACCTGGGTTATTGGTTCAATTTCTTCATTAGGGCGTTCTGCGCTAAAAGATACACGGGGAATGAATCGAGAAGAATGAGCAATAGGTTGATAATCGCGAGGCAAGCTATTTTGTTGTAATTCACCTTGATCGCTTTCATTATCAGCGTCCTGAATTTGAAGTGAATCATGTGCATTACCAATTCTATCAATACATTCCAGACAACGTGAAGTTATATTATCATACGCAACTTTAAGAGCTTCATCTGGTCTTAAACGATTAATTCTAGCAAGAATATGCGATAAACGTGTATGTATTCGAGTATAGAATTGTGGTGATGGGTTTGAAAGAAATTCTTGAACTAACATCTCTAACTCAGACACTTTCAATTCACAATCATTCAACTCAACACCCACATCATACTCAACAGGAGCATAAGAAATTAATACTGATGGATTTAAAGCTTCCATCGCTAACTTTGAACGTAACAGCTTCCGTTTTTGATCCACATTAAAATCAGTAGCATCAATATTTCTGAAGCGCAATTCTTCAGTCAATTCGTCAGATTTTAAAGCATTGACATTCATTGTAAAATTTGTTGATATGACAGGTAAATGTTGATATAAATTGACCTTAAGGTTAAAATGGCGACTGCGATTAGAAGTATGCAAACACAAGAGATAGCAACAATCACAGTTTCTATTATTTAACGTTGGGCGCCAAATTTTATCACGCCTAGCGCGATCAAAAAAAACAAAATGAATTTTTCTTTTTTTTGTTATTTAATACCAACCAAGTATCAAGTACCCTTTACAATTTATAGGTTTTTTTTTTTATGAAAGGAACACAAGAATTATAAGATTAAACGGAAAAAAAAATTAAATAAAGACGGGATAGCGCTATCGCAGAACAAAATATAAAATTAAAGTAATTTACATTGGATTATTAAAAAACAGGTAGGTACTTTTCAACTAAATTACGTATCATTTGTATCAATTTGGTATGGAAGATTTTAAATGAAATGAGTAAATGATGACCGAATGGTGAAATGTTAGCTAACCTTGCGTTTGATTTCTGTCTCTTGCCGTCGTCTGAAGATGCAATTAAATTTTTTTTTGACCAGTAGATAGTGACTTAATAGTTATCGACGAACACTCCTGAAGAAGTTGCTGAAGTTGGTAAGTTGTTTTTTTTTTATTTAGAGCAAACTACTACTGAATTTGTTTTTTTTTGGTAATACGGAAGCTGCAGAAACTAATGCTCCTTCTTTCTGTTCCAGGGGCCCAAATCCGGTATGTACAAAAAACTAAAATGTGGTGAAATGTTACAATTTTGAAATAATAAAATTAAAAACTTACGGTTCTATGACCTTTTCTTTTTAAAATTTATCCTCAATAGGAATATTCAATGCAAATTGATTGGAATGAAATTTTCTTAAACGCAACTAAATAAATTGCAAATTTTTATCCGCACCAAACGTAGGTACGAAGACAAGTGCGTTTTCCGAATTCCTGATAGCAAGACCAATATTTCAAGTATAGTTTAAACGCCAACGACATCTTACGACACGTCATAACGTTACACAATTCACCAGGGTGCTAATGCTGAGTATTTCTGATCAATTCATCTTGGGAATGGTTCTTCTTAAGAAACTCGGAGCTGTGTTAGACGTGAAAAAGGGCGTGTTAAAGGTCGGCGATGAAGAACTCCCTTTCCATGAAGACAAAGAAGATGTCATCCGCCTGTTAACCACTCATGACGTCATTATACCCGGACTTAGTGAAAAAATTATAATGACCACTTTAGATGGATACTGTCGCCAGGGAAGCCTACGGATAGTCGAAGCACTGAACCAAAAGGAATTTCTAGTGGCTAGGGCTCTGGTAAAAGTTCAAAATGACGTTCCGATTCGAATTATGAATTTGAAAGATAGTCCTGTTAAGCTAAGCAAACGAACTGCAGTTGGACAGTGTGTGCCAATCTCGGCTATTCGCTCTGTGAAATCGGAAAATCTATCTAAAGGAAAGTATCCAAGAGAGCTGATAGATATGGTCATTAAAAACACTCCAGATTTGGACAATAGACAACGACAAACGGTGAAAAATATGCTTGTGGAATTTCGAGATGTGTTCGCGGTAAACGACCAGGACAAGTGCAAGACAAGCATAGTCACCCATAAAATAAATACTGGCAATTCCCAACCGATTAGACAACAGCCAAGGCGACTCCCCTTGGCTAAACGAGACGAAGCTGAGGAGATTATTAGAGACATGAGAAAACAAGGTGTCATCGAGCCATCGAATAGTCCTTGGTCATCACCGATAGTGCTTGTAAAGAAGAAGGATGGCTCCACAAGATTTTGCGTTGGCTACCGTCTATTAAATTCGGTCACCAAGAAAGATAGCTATCCACTGCCAAGAATAGACGACACCTTGGACACTCTATACGGAGCTCAATGGTTTTCCACACTCGACCTAAAGAGTGATTATTGGCAAGTGGGGATGGAATCGACAGACCGAGAGAAGACCGCGTTTTCTATAGGCTCTGGACTTCGGCAATTCACAGTAATGCCTTTCGGATTGTGTAATGCCCCCGCGACGTTTGAGAGACTTATGGAGGCAGTTCTAAGGGGACTAACGTGGCAGACATGTCTGGTATATTTGGATGATGTAATTGTCGTAGGAAAAACTTTTGAAGAACACCTAAAGAACCTGAGAGAGGTGTTTGGACGATTACGAGAGGCCAATTTAAAACTAAGTCCCAAGAAATGCTTTATGTTCCAAAAAGAAGTTAAATATTTGGGGCACATCGTATCTCGTGATGGTGTTACAGCTGACCCAGAGAAGATTATAGTGATTCAAGAGTGGCCGATTCCTGAGAACAAGCACGAGATTCGAAGTTTCCTCGGTTTGTGCACCTATTATAGACGATTCGTGAAAGGATTTGCCAACATTGCTAAACCATTAATAAAGTTGACAGAAGAGGGCAATGAGTACGAATGGAGTGAAGACTGTCAAAGAGCTTTCGAACATCTCCGGCAAGCTCTTACTAGCGCACCTATCCTTGGTTACCCCAGAAATGAAGGAAAGTTTGTGCTAGATACCGATGCCAGTAACACCGCCATTGGAGCTGTTCTCTCTCAATTGCAAGACGGACAGGAAAGAGTCATTGCCTATTTCAGCAAAGTACTGTCGAAACCCGAGAGGAATTATTGTGTGACTAGGCGAGAGCTCCTGGGTGTGGTAAAGGCATGCGAACATTTCCATAAGTACCTTTACGGCCGCAAGTTCCTGATAAGGACAGATCATGCAGCGCTAAAGTGGCTCTTGCAGTTCCGAAACCCAGAAGGACAGGTGGCAAGATGGTTAGAACGTCTTCAGGAATATGACTACGACATTGAACACAGGGCTGGAAAAGTTCACAATAATGCAGACGCTTTGTCAAGAAGACCGTGCAAGGACAACTGCACACATTGTTCTAAAATAGAAGACAAGATTGGCCATCTGCGGCGAACAACTGTAGAGAGTGAGGAGTGGAAGCCAAGCGAAATCAAAACGGCCCAAGAAAACGACCCAAGTATAAAAACTGTTCTGAATTGGATGCGCCACGGACAAAGACCAGACTGGCAAGACATTAGTGCCACAAGTCCTGAAGTAAAGAGTTATTGGGGCCAATGGAATAGCCTGACTCTGAAAGACAACCTGTTGTATAGGACCCTTGAAAGTGAAGATGGCACCGAATCGACGCTGCAATTAGTAGTACCTAGAAGCAAAGTGTCAGAAGTATTGCGAAAATTGCATGACGGCGCTTCCGGAGGACACTTTGGTATCACGAAAACGTTGCAAAGGGTACGTGAGCGATTCTATTGGGTCAACCGTAAAGAAGATGTCCTGCGATGGTGTCAAAAATGTGAGTTATGTGCTACTGGAAACGGACCAGTTTCCAAGAAGAAGGCACCCATGAGGCAGTATAACGTTGGTAGTCCGATGGAACGAGTTGCTATCGATATCGCAGGACCGTTTCCCGAGACAGATGGCGGAAATAAATATATCCTAGTGGCTATGGATTATTTCACAAAGTGGACTGAAGCTTACGCTATTCCAAACAAAGAGGCAGCAACAGTTGCAGAAGTGTTGGTAAAGGAGTTCTTTACACGTTTTGGTGTTCCTATAGAAATCCATTCAGACCAAGGAAGGAACTTTGAATCGGCTTTGTTCCAAGATGTTTGTCGATTGGTAGGAGCCAATAAAACAAGAACAACACCTTTGCATCCTCAGTCAGATGGAATGGTTGAGAGAATGAATCGAACGATGGGTAAATATCTTTCAAAAGTCGTGGCAGAACATCAGAAAAATTGGGACCAGTACCTCCACCTGTTCCTTATGGCATATCGATCAGCCGTCAACGAGACCACGGGTCAGACTCCTGCCTGCCTTATGTTGGGTCGTGAACTACGCCTTCCATGTGACCTCGAGTTTGGGCGTAAACCCCATGAAGAATATGTCGCAGGTGAAAATTATGTTGACCAACTAAAGGCGAAGATGAACGACATTCACGACTTGGCTAGAAGTCATATTCAGATTGCCAGCGATCGCATGAAAAATCAATACAACCTCCGCTCGGCCAATGAAACTTTTGAAGCTGGAGATCTGGTATGGCTGCACAATCCACAGAGACGAAGAGGTCTTTCTCCCAAGCTACAAAGACAATGGGAAGGTCCGTATGAGGTGATCAAGAAAATAAATGACGTGATATATCGTATCAGAATGAACCACCGGAAACCGAAAGTTGTCCACATTAATCGACTCGCACGATATGCCGGATCCAACAACAACGAAGAAGTTAGAGGTATTCGAGAAGAGGAACGCAGCTTTGGGATCGAGCCAAACTTTAACGATTTTATGTCAAATTACGCCCAGCGGAAGAAAGCTCGATTTGGCGTTACTCAGGAAATTTGTCAAAATATTTTTGAGCTTCCGGTTAACGTTTCCATCGCCCATTGTGTCGCCGAAGACCTTCGCATGAGTAGAGGTATAGCTTCCGTATTCCGGAAAAGATTTGGAAGAATCGACGAGTTGTTAAAGCAAAGACCACGAGTGGGTAAAGTACTGCGCTTGGAAGATAGTCAACGCTCTTTGTTCTACTTGGTTTCAAAGAAAACGTCAGAAGGCAAACCCACCTATGAAAACCTCTGGTCTGCTTTAAAAAGCTTAAGGAAACTCATGGCATACTATGACATAAATAGCTTGACGATTCCGAAGATTGGATGTGGTTTAGATGGGTTGGACTGGAAAATAGTGCGAACCATGATCGAAGTGATTTTTAGAAACACTAGCGTTCGAATTACAGTATGCTACTTCAACCCACAGGGGACGACCCTCCGCAAAACTGTGGACTGTTACTTTTTCAAGTTGTTTGTCGAGCAGGCTCTGACTGCAGATTCCGACACGAGGCATTAAAAAGTAATACTAACGCAGTTTCTGAACGAGACGTCCAGAATTAAGAAGGGGGCAGTGTAACGGAAATGCTCCAGACATGACGTCGCCTTTGGCGCTCTGGAATTTTCTAGACGCGCGATGGTGGGGATGTTTGCAGCGTGTCTGGTAATTGCGCGAATGTTCTGGACTTACATTGCTTGCGTGTATAAATGGTTGCGGACCGAACATCGCGGCAGTCTACTACCGAACGAGTACGTAAACATCGAGCGCGGAAATATAAATTGCGAAGTGTGAGTGATATAAATAATCGATATAAATTGTACGGATTTTATAGTGTTTTAGTTCTGTTTAATAAATATTGACATAAATCGAACCCGGAATTTATAAATAACGTTACAATACTTTGTCATACATGTACCTACCTAGTACTGATTATGTGCAAACACAAATCCGTAATAGGCTGCTATGGAGCACAACCGCAGACATCAAAAAGAGGAAGAGAAACCCTACAGAAATATGGTGACCGCTAAACCAAAAACCTTTGTACAGGTAAACACGAAGTCAGTAGAAACGTAATGGCGTACCGAAGAAAAATAATTTGCCTATAGCCAATCTGACGGAATAATCTTCACTGGGCTAGAAATTACAACTCATTGCCAAGATAAAATTTAAGAAGGGATAGAATCAGATGGTACGAAAATACACAATATTTACCCAACGATTTTTTCGCATTTGATTGATTTCGTTAACTATTGCTCTGCGGAAAAAATGAACACAAATAAATTTGTTTAGAGTTGAACTTTAGTCCGAAATGTTCATTCTGAAATGTTAATGTTTTTTATGGAAAAATATCAAAAGGTAATCTCGAAAATTGACAACTTGTTCCAGTTAGGATTTGTATTCGATACGTGACCTTTATTACTGATGTGCATAGAAAAAGTTCACGCCTCAAAGAATTAATTGGTGTTATCCGATTTTCAAAATCTTTTTTGGTTGACCCAGAAACTATATAGCACGAATTGTCCGCTGTACGTACATTTTTGTCCCATTTTGCGTACGTACGTCCATGTGACGAACCTGTAACTACGTCTGATGTGCGTGATAACGTACAAAATACGTACACGTACACCGAATACATTTTTCGATAATTGCAAAAGAAGAACTTCGCTGTAATCATAATGTAAACGCAAAGGAATTTCCACCCTCGCACGGTTATTGCATATTAGGTGTTGTCACTCTGTTGTTTAATAGAAATAGTTGACTGAACTGCCCGGCTACTTTCTAAATAACACAAGTACGTACATTGAAAATACATACTACGTACATCCCTACATTTAGGGACGTACACTTCACGTGCACATAAGGTTTACTTACGTACACTTCACGTACACCGCATGATATTTTTGCACCACTTTGTACAAACTAGGTACGTACTTTGCCGTACGTACTATGTACGGGGGCAAGAATAATAAATTATACATACATAACAGTAAGTCTAATGTACGTACGGCAGAGTACGTACCCAGCATGTACAAAGTGCAATAATAACGTTCCATGTGCGAGAAATGTGCGTACATGAACCGTAAAGTCACGTGAAATGTACGTCCGCAAATACAGCGCTCTACGTACTACCATTGAATAAAAACACTATTATTCAATGGTACTACGCATTTGCAATGTTCGTACTTGTGTTATTTGGGAAACAAGCACCAAAATCAAAAACTGATTTCTCGTGAACTATTATCGGATATTATGCACGTATTTTTTTTAAATGTGCGTCTTTCTGAGAGCTTTTCATGCATTTCTTGTTATGTTTCGGAAATTATTCCATTATTTTGTTAATTAAGAAATTTTTTTCAATTTTTAAGAATTCAGTCCGTAGATTTGCAAAAATCATCGGGACAATTGTTGAAAAAGGTTGCCTTAGGGTTCCGCTATAAGTATATAAAAAGTGGGAGTGGGGGACAAGGCATCGTTTTGTTCAGCTTGCCTATATAATTATGCAATGATTCCAGGCTTTTCCGGTAAAAGATTGATTGTCGTTTATTAGCAATGGGCATTTTTACTCCGGTATTTACCTTACGAATTGGGAATAGCCGGCAGAATGCTCGAAACTGATATAACGAAATTTCCATCTCTGCCACAGATGAAAAATTCTTACCCCAGACCAGATTCGAACACCCGACCTCCGTCTATATAGCCCAACGCTCTACCACTGAGCATAGATTTGGTTACAATATCAACATGGTGCGATTTAAGTGCAAGAGCGCATCTTTTGCATATTGCAATATGTATGGGTGGTAGATTAATGCACATTAAATATTATAACATGTTATACAACAAGTAGTTACTAGGTTACAATATACGTAATGAAATTAATTGTATATAAACGCAAGACCACGAGGAATACACCAGTATATTTTGCTAATGCAATTTTGGTAAAAGTTACGGTCTACCACCTTACATTTTACCCCAAATCCACTAGATCTCATACCGGAATTGAACATGTCTAAGAAATTAAAATGCCTTTCTTTGAATTTTCAAAAACTTATCTTAGAATCGTGATTTTCAATGTTGAAAACCCTCGGACCAAATTTCGTCGAACTAGGAATTTTTAAAATGGGCATTAATACCTTTATTTTTCATTTGCTTATTATACGTATGTCAATTATATCTGTCATATGTGATATGTGTGTGACATATGAAGCAGTCTATTACGCCCAAGGGCATAATGAGAGGGCATAATGGATTGTCATCCCATTATGATCTCAAACAGCCTGTAAAATTGATTGACGGAGTTATATTATGTAATAAAAAAGATGCAACTTGATTCGTATGAAGCACTTTAATGTTGGGCAAACAATAATCATGACATTTGTATATTGGAAATGCATTCTTTGGAACGATGAAAAATAAAATGTTGTATGCACCTCAGGCATTACTCAATATTTAACCCTCGGGCGACTTACAATCCCTCGGGCCGGAGGCCCTCGGGCTCTGTCGCCCTCGGCATAAATATCGCGTTAATGCCCTTGATGCATAAATAACTATTAAAGGTATGACGGAAATCGTCAAAATATAAAATGTAAGCCACAACCACTCTCGTTCTTCTACAGGATTCGATAGCAAAAGACCAAGGAAGGAGAAATCGATCAGATCAATATTATTGAAATACAGAAAAATACTTTGCGTGATCTCTAGTGGGGTATGGAATACCCCATAGTATACGAAGATTCAATTGCCTTTTTCCAAACACTGTTACGAGAGTGTTAGAGTAATATAGAAAGAATTATCCAGTCCCTCAAAACTTGCGTAGTACTGGAGGGTCTGGGTGCTGGGTGGTATGGAATACCCCCAGTAGACGAAGATTCATTACCTTTTCTCAAACACTGGTACGAGTGTTCTTCCCTCAAGGGTAATAGAGGAAGAACTATCCAGTCCTCCTTTGCCGAGGGTACGGTAGGGGGATTACTGGGCCAGACCGAGATAAGAATGAATAGGTAAGGCAGGTTTGTCACTGGCTTGACACTTTTAAGTGGATGTTGTCCATTCCTTCACAAACATGCCCTTCCTGTTGTTATCAGTGATAAACAAAGCTGACCATAACCCTCTACGGGACTCGATCCTTGAATCACACAAAATCTATACATCCAGCATGGGTGACTCGTTTTTTATTTTATTTTTATTTTTTTATTATTTATTTTATAATTACATTGTTATTGTTATTACTATAATTGCTTATTTTATCTTTTCAATTTCTGTCACCAGGCAGTTATTCCACTTTTTCATGCGTTCCCCTTGATCGGCATCCTTTACTTCTTCACATTTTTCGTAGAATTTTTCGGCCAGCGCTTCATAGTCCGTCCCTTCTTTTTTGATGACAAATTTAAGCGTCTTTACAAGATCCTTAATTATCACTTCCTTATTTAACCCACCATCAGGAGAGTAATATTTCCTCTTTTCAAATATACACTTCATTAGCTTATTTCCGACTTCGTCCAAGCCATGCATTCTAAATTTATCATCGAAGTATTTAGAAAACATCTCCTTATCGACGTTGTGTTCTTTCATGCATTCGTGGGTAGCATTGTCTATCAGTTCGTCGGGGAACTCCACAGAAAGTACCTAGGAAATTGTTCAAGTTGACCAGCCGTTTGAAGAAAGTTGTGTATGGATCTTACCTGCACGATACACAAAAGGAGCACAAAACACAATGAGGTAGCTTTCATTTCGGGTGGTACAGTTACTAATAACATCAAAAAGTTTCGTTTTGTCTATTTATACACTTTTGTTGTGTAACAATCACGCTGTCATCCGTTGGGTTTTTGGAAATCTTTACAAATATTTTGTAATTCTATGTAATAATACTGCAGATAGTGGTTATCGCCGCTGACCTATTCAAAATAGAGCAAAGTGTTGGTACTTTTCAACCGTTTATCACAATGTTTACTCCCATGTGGTCATAATTCATTTACAGTACACAAACAACACTTGCATATCAAAACAAACCACCCAATGTATCACCGTCACCCATGTATCGACAACAAGTGGCAATACTACAACAAAATGTTCTTAAATTACCTTTATTTTTATAGTTTGGAGAAATGTGCAATTTTCAAATAGTGTTTCTTGGAAACGCCGGTAATATTTTCGTCTCCCGGTGAAATTTTACAGGTCTCTTTCAGGACTAAGTTATTAAAAGTCCTTACTGTTCATTAAAAAAAAGCACTGGTTTTGGTACCTAGCAGTAAATAGCGTCTCCCGCCAAAGACTAGTGGAGAAAAACTTCTGAAAAACCATTTTAGGTGAAAGTTTCCGATTAAATCCATTGCATTAAAGACACACCTTATACTTTCTCGTCTTCAAGTCTAAAGGGTGGATGAATGAATATCGTTTTCGTCCGTTAATTGATAAATAGGATAAGTATCCTATGGGTTATCCATAAATTCATCTGAGAAAAAGAGAAATTTTCGGTACGGATGCGATAGTCTTGTTTCATATGTAAAGAATATGGCTCCAACAACGTGTTTGAGTTGAAAAAAACGGTTTCGTAGTAATCAGAGGGTGACAAATTAAACTTTTTATTGATTCAACGTATTCTACACACTTGTCACTATCAAACAGATAAAATTATTACTTCATAAACAAAGCCTCTAGCAGTATTGTTACTAGGTAATGCATTATTCTACAGAAACGCTTACATCTTATCTATTTCGTCAAGAACGCAATTACTCCAGTGTCTAATCCGCTCGATGTGATCGTCGTCCGCATTCCCTTCATCACACTTTTTGTAAACTTCCTCGGCCATCTTCTCAGAATCGCCTTTCCCCAGGAGACGGATAGTATTGATAATGTCCTTCATAAGCATTATCTTGTTCATCTTACCATCGGCAGAAATAAGATCACCCTTTTTAATTCCACACTCTAGCAGCTTCTTTCCATCTTCGTCCACATGGACCATCCTGAATTTTTCATCGAACATTTTGGATAAAACAGATTTATCGAGCTTTAATTCGTCCATGCACTCGCGCATGTAGTCCTCTATTAGTTCATCGGGAAACTCCGAGGACGTTACCTAATCAGTGCAATGATTGAGCAGCTACACGAAAGTTGCCAACTCACCTGAACGACGCACCAAATGAACACAAAACACAGAGTATTGGCCTTCATGTTGCAAAACTCAATTGCTAATAAGTCATAGATCTATTTTCTACTTATTTATACTACTTCTGAACCACCAACACTAGCCAATGGTTCAAAGGGTCGCTGTTGTAAAAAACTGCATTTAGAACGATTGATTAATTATCGATTATTCACAACAAAAACGGTTGTTAAAGGTGGTCCTGAGAATCTTACAACTTAAATAACATCAGTTTTGTTAATCCTACATTGTAGATTTTTGGGCTGTTTTGTGAGGTCCGAAAAAATTCCAGTGTCATTCATCTTGGCAGACATTATTATAGCACTTTTACGATAAAACAAATTTACATGTTTGACCTCGCCAAAGGGTCACGGGGTCTGGTACTATTTCTATTATGGCAAGTCTTGCATAATGTTTACGGAGTAGATGATCGCTTAGGACGATTTCTTGGTATACTTAACCTTGAACCTCTCCTATCATTTTCAATGTTAAAAGCCTTAAAGGTGCCTTTACTTACGTCGTGCGATCCTTGCGCAATTAAAAGGACAGGATGCTTCACAATGTAGGGAAACAAATATTTAATTTAAGAAATAATTTATAGTTGCATGAAAACAATATTGCATGTATATTTCATGAGAAACGTGGTTGTTGAATAGAGTCTGAAAACAAATTTGATAGCCATTAGGCAGTTGTAATTTAATTTTAATTTAGATTGGCTAGTATCAGGGTAGACCTGCCACTTTTCAAAGCATTCCAGCGTCCTTCCAAAGGCCTTTTCAAGAGCTATCAGAGAAGCCCATTCGAAAGCGTGGTAAATAAGAATGAACGTCAAAGGAAGGAATAAGGTCACGGCTTTGCCTTTCTTTTCCAAAATAATTAAGAAGATTCCACATATCCTGAAGGGAAAACCACATACAGTGTATGTGTCCAAATTTACATTTTTTGCAATCCGAAGTCCGAACGTGTACACTTTTCAAATATTTTTAATGTTATACCCACGATAGGAGAGCCCACGATACTAATTGGGGATTTATACAGCGTCGTAGGGACTTTGTAGATTGGATGGTAGAAAGTTATATGGTATACATACATCCCTCCACCGGCGGGCGGCGCGCCTACACTTTTTTTTAATAATGTACAAAGAAAAATAGTCGCAGAAAAATACTCGAGCGCGTCAGATTTTGATAGTATGTCCTACTGGCTCTGATAGTGGAGGTATGTTAATCTCCCGGTTTGCATGGTGGGGTAGGCTGTACGGTAGAAAACTGGATTTATTCAAGCGCGTCATATATTTAGAGCGTCGCGTCGTACGTACAATTCATGACACGACCGCCTATGATCTCAGTCAACTGACATAATTCAACTGCTGAACGCCCCGAACTTTATTGACAATTTGTTCTACTCTGGCGTATGGAAATCGGCAGATTTTATTACTTCTGTTAATTTCGAATAATTTCCTTCGACGTAAAAAATAATTCCAACGCGCTCGAAAATGTCAAAGTAACTTCTTTCCCCATTCCCTCACGTAACTATCAAATTGTCAGATTATCGAAATTCACACTTTTCAACGCGTAGTCAACCCACTTTATTTTAATCTGACGTGCTCAAGTAATTCCCAAAATCCTACTACAAAGGCTATAAACGCTTTTTAATCTTTCCCCAAAAAGAGACTTCTAAATGATATTTAGGGCATCTCAGCGTCCCTTCAAATTCATTTTTTATGCCTCATACGTGGAGCGTTAATTATATTCCCTTTTGATAATGATGTTGAAAAATGTGGTAAAATTTCAATATTCCTGGAAACGGAAGACATGCGCACAATGCAGTTCCTCTCAACGGTTCCCTCAGGGATCGTTTTTTAATATTGAACGGATTGGGGGGGGGGGGGGGGGAGACAATGGAAAAAGCGTAAGCCTCTACGCCTTTAATGTAATTCAAAAAATGTTCTTACTTTGACCGTATAACACGCAACCTTCCTAACGGCTATAGACTATAAACTTTCTCATTTTCCCTTAAAATTTGAAAAAAAAATACGGGAACCACCTAAGGGACTCTGGACAGTTTATTAGGTCGTCTAGTTCTTTCTAAAACAATTAAGACGGTTCCAAACAAGTTGAGAAAGTTTCACATTTCCTGATAGTGAAGACATTGAGCCAAATTTACAGACCTCTCTTCGTAGGTTTGTGCGTAACTATCGTTTCTCTTATGATCTTGTAAAAGTTACAGATTTTCAAGAGGGCGACTAACAAATAACAAAAAAGGTCCTTTCAAACACTGTCACGTTTTTTTTTCAGTTTTTTGGAAGGGGAAGCTAGGTCGTAAAAATGGATAACCTCTCAATGGAAGACCATTAACTTAACATATAGAAGAAATATATGCCAGCACCTAAGGTACCGAATGCTTTACGAAACTAACGAAACTATTACAGAATTTAGTCCCTCTTCAGATTTACGTTTGCATATTACATTTTCTATGCCCTTTGGAGAACGACTTTTATTTATTTATCCAAAAAATCAGGACTACGCCCGTGTATCTTCAAATAAATTCTAAACGATTCCACATTCACTGGCAGGGAGGACAAAAAGATGCACTCAGTGGTTCTGAGGTTCTCCTCATTTGTAAAAGTTATAGTTTTTCTGAAGGGGAACCGCAATGATAAGGCGCAGAAGCGTTACTAGTTCTTAAATTTTACGCAAGAGTAGACACATGTGCAGGTGCACAACTCTCTCCATCGCCGTAGACTTACACTTCTCCAATTTTTTTTCTTAAAATTTGGAAAAAAATAACAGGCTTTCACATAACACACAAATTTCGGAGACTAATTTTAGCCTCTAATCTTACCCTCTAATTTTAGCGGAGAGGACACGAGGCGCGTTTGTCTTCATGCCTTTCCAAGGGCTTTGCGGTCACCCGCTAACCCGCTTTTCATTCCTGCCACAGCCGACACACCTTGTTTTCTCCCTTTAGCTATGCGTGTTCATAGTCTTTTCCCCAATTCACTGCAGCTAACATATTTCCCAGGTTTTTTTCAACGGTTATCAGTTTTGTAAGGGATCACGCACAACGTAGGTAAGTTAAGGGAGGGTAATGAATTAATTAGAAGAAAAGTTGAACAACGTTATTAAAACTGATGAAATTTGTTAATAAAGGCGAGTAATGATGTACAAAACCCCTTGCAAAGGTACGCTAACGATGTGATTACGAAATTATGTTATCTGCAAGCTTTAGATCTCTAATTCGCATTCTGTTCACTGGGGCGAGGTATCGCGCTTCCAGTGTTGCCATAATATAAACTAACTGAAGCGGCTGAACTGATACTGTTCGAGTTTAGGTTACAATCTAAAATTTACTGCAAATTGTTTTTGTAAGAATTCCCAGACATACACTTCATTGATCGAGATTCTGCCCTTTCCCTTATTTATTACAGTTCTTCTAGCTAGGGAAAATTTGGTAACGTTCGCTTTTTATTAGGTTATGAACAAAATATCAGATTACTTCATATGCACCCGCTCTTAATTTCTCAAATTTGTCGTAGCTTTATCATTTACTTAGGTATGGTCAAATGTGTCTAACCTTGCGGTTGTAACATACGCAGGCTGATGGAAAAGTCTCTGGACGTGAAAGAATAAATATACTCATGTGAATGGGTGAAAGGTTTTTTGTAATTTTATCCAAAGTTACTTATGAGTTTCTATATAATCTATCAAGCATGTAAATAAAATAAGTATACGTTTATTAATCACTCTTTCAAAGGTTCGGGGGGCATTTTTCAACGCAAAAGGCATCCTTGACAACTGAAGATATCCTTTGCCAATTCAACGGGACAGTTTTTGTTGACTGTGTCTATCGATCCTAATTTGAATAAATCCACGTGCTAAGTCGAGAGCATGAAAGTGCTGAAATATCCTTAATTTATCCATCATGTAGTAAATGTTAGGGATTGGGTACCCATCTTTAAACTTTTTGTTGTTTAGTGCTCTGTAATTAATTATTATTCCTCATTCTGGCATACCGCTACCTACAGAACCACTAATTAGATTCTAGAAACCAGATCCCGTGTTATGTGTTTAGATCTCGGAACGAGTTATCATTGAGAGGTAAAAAAAATGGATGAAAAGTATCTTTACAGGTTTTTATCTAAGATAAGATTGCACTATAAATGCTTGGAAAACGATTATGGTGATAAGAAAATCGCTTTTCTGGTCACGCAACACAAAGTTAAACTATAAAAGTAGGTATAGCGGTACCCGAGTGTGGGAAAATTCTGGGGACCGTGGGAAAATATTTCGGCAAATTTCGGCAGTTGGCCCGGGCCAAATTTTTGGCAGTTGGCCCGGGCCATATTTTTGGGCAGTTGGCCCGGGTCAAATTTCGGCAGTTGGTCCGGGTCAAATTTCGGCAATTGGCCCGGGGTCAAATTTCGGCAATTGGCCCGGGGGTCAAATTTCGGCAATTGGTCCGGGTCAAATTTCGGCAACTGGCCCAGGTTCAAATTTCGGCAATTGGCCCGGGGGTCAAATTTTGGCAATCGTTCCCGGGGGGGCTGCAAGATCAAATTTGGCAATTGGCCCAGGGGGTGCGAAGTCCAATTTTGGCAATTGGCCCGGGGTGCAAGGTCAAATTTTGGCAATTGGTCCGGGGTGTAAGGTCAAATTTTGGCAATTGGTGGTATTTCGGTAGTTGGTCCTGGGTTGTGACCCGGGGTATTTCGGGAGTTGGCCCCACTGGGGGGGTATTTTGTCAATTGGTCCGGGAAGATTTAATTTTACTCTTACTTACCTTAATTTGCTCCACAGTCATCAAGGCGATAATCCGTACAGGTTCACAAACACGTCATTGCACAAGACACATATCACTTCGCGTGTACACTCACCACGATCTGGAAGAAGACTGATAGGACTTGGTTGTGCGTTAAAATGACGCATGCGCACATTTCAAGGTCAGATCAAAGTAGGGCAAGTTGCCGATCAAAGTCCACACTGTTCAAAGTCCATTCTCCGTTGTTTCAAAGGTTGCTGACCGATCAAATTCGATTACATACCTGTTCCAAATCGTTCAAAGTCCAACTAACTGATTAAGGTCGTGTGTTAAAATGATGCATGCGCACGCTCGGGGCAAAGTCCATTCCCCGCTGTTCAAAACCTAAAGGTTGCTGACCGGTCAAATTCCATCGGAAAAGTAGGCCAAGCTATCGATCAAAGTTGCGGCGTAAATTTTACATTTAACCATTTAATCGTTTAAATAAGCTACAGGTGAGTTCAAGGACAGATTATTAGGATATACAACGCGAGGTCACTGTACACTAGTCACGGCTGTGCGCACACTTCAAGGTCAGATCAATGACGATTATAACCAATATTTTGTCTGTATTATGACGTTATTTCCGCTGGTCTTTTGGAAAGTAGATCAAGCTATCGATCAAAATCACCACTGTTTAAAGTCCAAATCGATCAAAGTCCATAGATTACGGACCGGCCAAAGGTCTTTTCTCTGCTGTTCAAAAGCCAGGAGTTGCTGACTGGTCAAACGCTGATGTAAGTCTAAAGGTTGTCAGACAAAGTCCATTCCCGCCGTATAAAATCTAAAAGTAGGTTTCCGGTCAAAGTCTAAGGATTCGTATAAAGTCTAAAGGTTGCCGAACGGTCAAAGTCCATCCCCAACCATTCAAGTCCAGTTACCGATCAAAATCCACACAGGTTACTCACCCTTTAAACGTTGCGTGTCAAGGTGATGATGATATTCAGGTGTGAGATCAAGGTCAAGTTAAAAGTTTCCTTATATGGAAACCCATTAAACGAATGTGATGTTTACTGGATTAAAAGAGAATAATTTCAGGCAAAAATGCTTACTTCTAGAAAAATTAATTGCGTTTTAAGTATTTATAGCGATTGCTTCTCTCACACACTTACAACTTCAAGGTCAGATGATAATGAAACCCCAAACATTTTGTCTGTATTATACGGTTAGTTTCGATTAAAACTCTTCATTAATACTTAATAATAAATAATAATAAATATGCTTTATTATGCAGTATATATGCAGCATAATCTCAGGGCGAGGTTCAGCATCGGGTACACTTTTTTTTCGAGGATCCTGTATATAACAATCAGTACCTACAGATTTTACTAGTTCAATAGCGTGATATTAAAAAACAATTGAAATTTCTTTCAGAGTTTGAGGAAGAATATTGTATGAAATTCAACGTGCAGTGTTTGAAAGCATGTAAATGTGATCGATCGGCGTCTAATGTATATTGAGCAAACTGACTAAACAATCTTTACATACAATTTTTTCCTTTAACGTAATCGAAATCGACCTGACGCATTGACAATGGAAAATATCTGATTTGCCACAAAGTAACCACTGAATTATTCTGCTCTAGTTTAAATCATGGTACATATTTTGATCGTTATTGGGCGAGGTGTGAGAAAAACACGCAAAATCCTTGTTTAATTGTAAACAAATACACGAAAATGATTATGTATAGCCTCTATCGAATAAACTATCGTCTTCTTTGGCTGTCGAAAGGAATTTTCGTCTATGGACCCACCAATGACCAATTTGATCTGTTTATTGCAGCAACCCTAAAATATTTACTATACTAAGAAATCAACAATTTTTAAGTAAGCTACCTTATTTATACGTATTTGACCATTCTTGTGTGGTCCCCAATAAGTTGATAATTAGGTATCTTCCTCAAGTGCGATACGAATTTCAGGTATGTCTACCAAAAGGTTTTCGGAATTCCTCGTTTAACAGACTGGTCCTTGTTCCAAAATCAGTGTTTATCTATAAACTGTAATTAGGTACCTACATGGCACACATTAGGGATGGGAAACTGTAGATAAAGATAAATTTCCACCACTACTTATGATACATGCAAAAATGGGGCTCGGTACTTAAGTTTATCGCATTAATTACATCGGAAACAAATGGCAGCAGATTTTGAATTAAGTTTGTGAGAGTGAGAGTAAATGGCTACCTAGCTAGGATTTAGTAGTAGTGAATAAATAAATACCCGTACATAACGCATATCTATCCACTTTATTTGTAACACAGTTCAGAGCGTAGCAAAAATTTGATATTTTTTAGAATGCATCTTCTTTTAGGAAGTAATCCTCCGGCAAAACCGAGGGCAAAACGCAGCATATGATGAAATTAAAAAATGAATTACATTACGCAACTTACAGTTCCATTTAAAGTGCTGTGTAGGTAGGTACCTGCTTAGAACGTATTCTCGCACTTTTATCTAGAAATCAAAATAACGTAATCCCAACATATGTAATGTATGACCGCTTGGGGGTTCACTCGTTTAAATTTTGCGAAACACGGTCTTATCGCGTGGATCGAGGGGAAGGAACTAATAGAATAGTGCAATTCGTTACAGAAAAAGCAAATCTTGCATTTTTCTCGACTGTCAGTGTATGTTCGGGTTAATAACCCTATCACGTATTACTAATTATGTAGGTACCTACAGATTTAACAATAATTGTTTAAAGAGAAGAGGTAAGGGTAGTGCCACTATCTAAATCTTACAAGATGTATTGGAAATTACGGTGAATTGGTATTATTTGTATCATACGTCTAAAATGTTACCTTAGGTCGAGAAAACTAAGGAAATTTCACATTTTTTTTAGTAATGTAATATTCTATTCCAGTGAGTTGTACATAAGAAGCGTATATACATTACCTTCTCGATTCTGGACCGTTAAGAATGTACGTTAACATAAAAATGAAAAAAAAACGCAATTCGACAATTAGGTACATGTGTTTTTCGCTAAAGACGGAATCGGCAAAATTTCAAACTGGTTGGTCTTTCACGATTCGTTCTATAAACTACGATCAAAAGTTTATTTATTGCAGAGGATTTTGAGGTGCAATATTTACAGAGTTGTGAGAAAAACACACAAAACCTTCGTTCAATTGTAAACAAATATACACAAATGATTTATGTAGCCTCTATCTAATAAATAATCGTCTTCTTTGGCTGTCAAAATGAGTTTTCGTTTATGGACCTAACAATACACAATTTGATCCATTTATTGCGGTAACCCTATAATCATTACTATACTAAGAATTAAACAATTGTTCAGTAAGTTACCTTAATTATACGTATTGGAACATTTCTGTTTGGTCCCCAATAAGTTGACAATTATATTCATCCACTGCGATACGCGAACTTCAGGTAGGTACTACGTATGTCTGTATCAAAGTCCCCTCTGCTGTTCAAAGTCCAAAGGTTGCCGATCGGGTAATTCCAAAGGTTGCTGACTGGTCAAAGTCCATTACACACCTGTTCTACGTCGGTCAAAGTCTAAATCGGTTAAATTCCATTCTCCGCAGTTCAGAGTCCATAGAGGTAGTCGACCAGCCAAAGTCCATGGGCAAAGTCCAAAGGTTGCTGATCGTCCATTTCACATCTGTTCTAAGTCGGTCAAAGTCCATTCGCAGCTGTTCAAAGTCCAAATCGGTCAAAGTCCATTCTATGCAGTTCAAAGGCTGCCGACGGTCAAACTTCATTATACACTATTCTAAATCCAAAGGTTAAATGCCGGTCAAAGTCCATTCCTAACGGTTATAAGTGCTAAAGTTGATCGTTTACAAGCTCATAGTACAAGTGAATCTTGTTCACGAAACAACTGTTATTTAGTGCGCGGAAATGGAAAAGTTTCTCATTGTGAAAGACGTTACCCATAAAGTGCGTCGATTTAATTTGAGCGGTCGCACATTGGAGTTCAAAATAAAACCGGTACCTAAAGATACCGAACCTGTACATTGGGTTAGAAATGCGATTTCGCAACTTGTAAATAGGAGTGTAGAAGATTTGGAACCTCAGGATATGGTCGGTTTCTCTTTCTGCTCTAAAGATTTTAAGAAAGGTGAGGGATGGTTGCGATTCAGGCAGGCTAGCGAAGTTACTATTAACGATATATGGGATACTATATCGTCCATCTACCAGTCCAACTCCTGTGGTTTGAACACTGAGACTTTCTGTTTTCGTATAACATCAGTGAGGTTACCTGCTGGTTCCGGAAGAGGGCGAAAATATAATAACTTTAGTGAGGAGTGTGCTATGAGGAACGGTATTGTGGTAATTAAAAACCACGATAAGTTATGCCTGCCTCGAGCCATAGTGGTCGCAATGGCTCTTATTGATAAAGTTTCTGAATACAGAAAGATTCGCTGTGATATAGGAAAAATACAAACACTAAAAGCCGTTCAATTACTAGAAGATAGTAAAATAAGTATTCCTGAAACGGGAGCTAGTATAAATGAGCTGCAAAAATTTCAAAGCTATCTGAAAGGTTACAAACTCACAGTATATCTTTACAGCAGAAAAGGTCGTGATGTAATGTTCGAGGGAAGTGAAGCGGGTAAACACCTCAATTTATTGTATCACGAGGGGCACTTCAACGTGATCCGCTCGTTAACTGCAGCATTTTGCTGCAGTTATTATTGTGAAGAATGTCACGTACCCTTTGAACATAAAACCCAACATCGTTGTGGGGGTACGTGTCCAGCATGTCTACAGTCACCAACATGTAGCACAGAACAGTTAAAGATTAGATGTGGTGAATGTTTGAGAGACTTTCGAGGTCAGAACTGCTTTGACAATCACAAGACACATAATGTCTGCATGAAAATTAAACGATGTGAAAAGTGTTTTGCTATATATCGCAATACCAGGAACCATATCTGCGAAGAAGTTTTCTGTAAAACGTGCAACGGCCATGTGAATAAAGATCATTTGTGCTACATGCCTATAGATACAGGTTACCCAAAAATCAAAGACACGCTTTTTATTTTTTACGATTTGGAAACCATGCAAGAAGAAATATTAGAAGATGGGTCCCTCTTGCATCAACCCAATCTCTGTGTTTACATGCAGTGCTGTGATAAATGTATAGACGAAAAGAAACTTTACTTTTGCCAAAAGTGTGGTTTTCGACAAAAAGTATTGACTGCGAATGTAATAGCCACTTTTATGGGGTATATTTTAACTATGAGGAAGAAATTCAAAAGCATAGTAGTAATAGCCCACAACGCCTCTGGGTTTGACGGTCAGTTTATTTTAAACTACATCATTACACACACAGATCTCACACCGGAGTTAATAATGCGGGGAACAAAGCTGGTGACAATGTTATTGGATAACGTCAAATTTCTAGACTCACTGAATTACTTTCAAATGGCGCTAAGAAAACTGCCGCAAGTTTTCGGTCTAACTGAGCTAAAGAAAGGATATTTTCCACATCTGTTTAACAGGACTGAGCACCAAAACTTTGTGGGTCCTATACCATCAATAGAAGCTTTCGAGCCGGATAATCTTATTCGAGCTGAAAGGGAAGAGTTGATAAAATGGTATTCCGAAAGAATAGCTGAAAACTACATTTTTGACTTTAAAAAAGAGCTTGTAGAATATTGCATATCGGATGTGGATATATTGGCACAGTCGTGTCTCAAATTTAGGAAGCTAATGATCGAGGAGGGAAATGTCTGTCCGTTTATCGATAGCGTTACGCTACCTGGTGCTTGTAATAAAATATTCCGCAGGAACTTTTTAAAACCAAACACCATAGGACTTATCCCAAAAGGGGGTTACCGGTTTCGTGATAATCAATCCGTAATTGCTACACGATGGCTATTATTAGAGGAGCGCTCTCGAGGAATTAACATAATACATTCTGCCAAAAAGAAGGAAGCTAGGATAGGTGGTGTTGAAGTCGACGGTTATTGTGCCGAAACTAATGAAGTGTTCGAGTTCCACGGTTGCTATTACCATGGCTGTCCAAAATGCTTCAAACATAGCAGAAACGCACCTCTAAAGGATAACCCTGCAGAGACGATGGTCTATCGTTACGAGACCACATTAGCAAAATCGCATAGATTGAAGGAGTTGGGTTACATCATCACCGAAATGTGGGAGTGTGATTTCCGACGTCTACTGACAGAGGAAATGTTAAGTTATACGGAAGCACACCCTCTAATGTTGCATTCACCACTAAATCCGAGAGACGCATTTTATGGTGGCCGAACCGGAAATGCAAAATCTTTCTATAAAGTTGAACAAAATGAACAAATAAAATACGTCGATTTTACATCCCTGTATCCGTACATTAACAAAAATGGAAAATACCCCCTGGGTCATCCTATCGTTCATACTTCTGAGCAGTGTAGCAAATTAAATCTGTATACCACAGAGGGAATAATGAAGTGTAAAATATTACCACCACAAGCATTGTTCCACCCAGTGTTACCCTTAAAAATGAATAACAAATTAATGTTTGTACTTTGTCGCGCATGCAGTGAAAGTTTCAATCAAGGACAATGTGAACACAACGACAACGAACGAGCTTTAACAGGTACCTGGGTAATTGATGAAGTCAGGAAGTCTGTCGAAAAGGGATACAAAATCTTGGAAACGTACGAAATATGGGAGTACCGCACAGAACAGTATAACAGAGAGACTAAAACTGGCGGTTTGTTTAATGATTACATAAATAAATTTTTGTGCATTAAACAGCAAAGTTCCGGATGGCCAACATCGTGCAATACAGCTGAAAAGAAAGATGAATATATTAAAGAATATTTTGAAGTCGAAGGTGTTCGGTTGGATCCCTCAAAAATAGAAAAGAATCCAGGACTCCGACAATTAGGAAAATCAGTTATTACTTCGTTTTGGGGAAAACTAGGTCAGCGCGAGAACCAAAGTAAAACTACAATAGTTAGACAACCAGAAGAATTTTATAACATCATGACTAACCCTTCAGTCGACATTAATTCGGTTCAGCCGATAAATGAGGATACGCTCCTTGTAAACTGGGAATTTAAAGAAGAAAGTTACACCCCTTTATCGACAGTGAACGTGGTACTTGCCGCTTACACCACTGCGCAGGCACGGTTAAAGCTGTATGAGTATCTAGATTTATTAGGTAAGTAAATTTAACATAAAAATTGCTTATAGGTAACTGTATTTTTTGAAATAGGCGAGCGTGTGTTGTATTATGACACGGACTCTATAATCTACATTACTTCCGAAGGCCAGTTTGATCCACCGACAGGTAAATTTTTGGGCGACTTAACAGATGAATTAGAAGCTGAAGGTGCTGATAGTTATATTGAAGAATTCGTGTCAGGTGGACCAAAGAATTATGCTTATAAACTCTGGTCCACGGCCAAAAATTGTTATGTAAATGTTTGTAAGGTGAAAGGAATTTCCCTTAATTATAAAAACTCACAAATCATCAACTTTGAACAGATAAAGAGGATGGTATTGGAAGGTGATAAAGCAGAACCCTTACTGGTATCGTCAAAGTTGATGAAAAGAACGGCTGAACATAATGTTTTAACAAACGATACTACTAAAGTCTACCGTACAAATTCGACAAAAAGATGTTTTGCTACAGATGGCTCATCACATCCTTACGGTTTTAAGAAGTCTCGTTTATCCGGTGGAATAGACGAAAATTTATAAAAAATTTAGCAGATGTAATAATATGTACCTGTAATGCATAGCTATGTAACTTTACTGTAATGTGGTATAAAATTCAATTAATTAGTTAAAAACATTATTCATTAATTCATCTTCAGACCGCACCTTTCCTATCACTGTACCGATGGCTGGGTCTCAATGATGGCGGATTTGTGATCGTACAGGTAACAGTTAACATGTAACAGCTAACACTAATAAAAAACCTGTTAGCTGATACATCTTCTTCAGTTACCTGTTCCAATCATGTTCACGTTCGGGTACAGGTCCACGTTCGCGTTAGGTTCATGTTAACGTTCACGTTAGGTTGACGTTCGGGGTTCACGTTCGCGTTAGGTTAACGTTCACGTTAACGTTAGGTTCACGTTCGCGTTAGGTTCACGTTAAGGTTTGCGTTGAGTTCACGTTAACGTTCATGTTATGGCGTTCACGTTCGTGTTGGGTTCACGTTCATGTACGCGTTGGGTTCATGTTCACGTTGGCGTTCACGTTCGCGTTAGGTTCACGTTCACGTTAGGTTCACGTTAACGTTCGCGTTAGGTTCACGTTCGTGTTGGGTTCACGTTCACGTTCGCGTTCACGTTCGCGCTGGGTTCACGTTCACGTTGGCGTTCACGTTCACGTTGGCGTTCACGTTCACGTTGGCGTTCACGTTCACGTTGGCGTTCACGTTCACGTTGGCGTTCACGTTCACGTTGGATTCACGTTAAACGTTCGCATTCACGTTCGCGTTGGGTTCACGTTCGCGTTGGATTCACGTAGTTTTTCCATAGATTTCAACCTCTAACTATAGAATCTCTCAAACCCTGCGTACCTCAACTGCTTACACGCTAGCATTTTTCTATTTCAGATGTCGCGGGGTTCGATTCCCAAGGCAAATTTAAAAAATAATGTCTATACCAATCACGTGACCGATGACGTGAAAAACAACATCCAAGATGGTGGAAGTGCTCTTTCACAGTGATGTCAGGTAATAGAATGATTTCATAGCATAACTGCATTGTTTGCGATACTGTTTACCATTGTTATCAAAAAACAGTTGTCTAAACCTAACACGATACCTAACACGTTAACCTTTATGACCGCTAAAACTGTTTGCTTATGTGGATATGAAACCGATAGTCTCGTATACGAGATAACATGTGACATGTGAAAATCGTACATTTTAATTTTAAAAATATCCAAAGTTGATCGTACGAAGGTGGTAAGACTCGTTTGGAAACCAATATTCAGGCTTTTCTTTCGACGCCAGAATGGTGACTATGATAAATATACAGGGCTTTAAAACATCAAAAACTGATTTTCAAGGAAAGAACTTGTAATTTATAATGGCCAGCAAGTGGCTCGTTTAATTTTTTTTAGCCTCCATTTTCGTGGAATAACTAAGATCACGACTTATAACGTCAAGCTACCTGGTTAATACATATTATCGCCGCCACAAGAGAAGAGCCCTGCGTCATCATCTACAAGCGTGTGATTTAAGATTTAAAATCAAAAGTCAAAATAGTTCCTTAATAATCAATATTAAAGTTGTTGAAAAATGTACATGATGGCGTAGTTTCGCAAAGGTTTAAAAAGAGCAACAGCAAATCCCAATTCAGTTGTTTTTGTTAAAATGCAATAAAGAACAGGAAAGTTGAAAAAAAAAACGTAGGTAAAAGAAGAATGACAAAAACGAAGAGCAAAAGAGGTTATGGAAAATTTGAAAATAATTAGGAGTATTATGACGTTGGTCAAATCAGCATCAAATATGCATGTTAAACTTGACAAGCGTTATAGGTTATCTCTTTTCATTACATTTAGCTTTTCAAAAGCGCACGTCTATTATATCCCAAGAACTTGTTTCGTTCTCTGTCCTTTTTTGGGTTGCGGAAATTTTTGAGATGTAAGTATCAACACCTTGGATTTATGCATTCGTACATTGATGACGCAGGGCTCTTCTCTTGTGGCGGCGATAATAACCATCACGGAATTAAATGGGAACATGGTCAGCATACACTTTAACCGATACTTTGGGCTTTTACTTTCTAACTGGAAATTTACCAAAGATTCAGATAAAATTATAACCCCCATAGATATTCGACAATTTAATCAATCATGTTGTATGAAAAAGAACGAGATTGAGGATTAGCGTGAAATATGTAATAACTCACGATTAAAACTGCTAGGATCCAGTAACTTCGCTTCCTTTTACCAAATATTTATCAATAAAATGCATGACTTGAAAAGAAGTACCGCAACTATCGAAAATGTACAGCTACGTGCCGAAACTTGAAAAATCGGTTGTGTGAGGAAGTCTCTTACAAAGGGATGTGTTAATAAAATTATAAATCGTTCATTATCAATGACAAAATTATCGGTTTGGTTCTGGTTCACGTTACATTTAAAATATATCAATTACTCTGCTCCTAAAAGATTTGTACCGTTTTGGAGATGGTTTTTGTAAACACTTCCACCTCAGACGAGACAGCGCGCATTTTTGAACGAACTAGTCGAAGATCCCATACAGAGAAATTCCACTTATGTCTTTATAGCGTAAAGGAAGGGGATATATTCCATTGCGTATGCTCATCGAAGTGGATATGTACGAATCTGCTTAAATCAATAAGAATCAGATATCAGGGTCGGCTTAGAACACAATTCATCGAACCCTTTCCTCCCTCCAAATATTGGTGTAGCTTTAGGTGATTGCATTTCTCCAAGAGTGTAGATTCCACGTTTTCAATTGTTTAGTGAATTCCGCTTTCATTGCTGTAATTTTTTTGTATGTAACGTACCTATCTATCTTTTAAAAGTGCAAAACCGAGAAAAATGTGCAATTTCCCTTAGCTTTCCACGTAATTTTATTTATTTAAGTGAGTCTAATATTAGCAAATTGCTCTATACAGATAATAACTATTTAACGTACCTATTGGATATCCCGTAATTACCTAGCTATAGGTACATTTTGGAAGATTTCGATAATGGTACTACCTCGCCCCTTTAGATAATTTCTGTTAAATCTAGGCATACTTATCGTAATAGTAGGGTTATTAACCTGAACAAGACACTGACATTCGTGAAAAACGACGACGTTGGCATTTTTTTCCGTTGAATTACCTACATGTTAATAATGAAACGCACTATTCTATTTGTTACTTCCCCTCGATACCACGTAATAAAACCGTGTTTCGCAAAATTTAACGAGTGAACTTGCCACTTGGACAGTTTGAAGTGATCATGATCGTAATATCAGACTGGGATTACGTTATTTTGATTTCTGGATAAAAAGCGCGAGAATGCGTTCTAAGCAGGTATGCCTACAGCACTTTAAATGGAAGTTGCATAATGTAATTAATTTTTAATTTTATATCCTGCGATTGCTTGAGAATCACCTCCTAAAAGAAGATGCCTTCTAGAAAATATCGATGGCCGTATTTTTTGCTACGCTCTGAACTGTGTTACAAATAAAGTGGATAGATATGCGTTATGTACGGGTATTTATTTATTCACTACTACTAAATCCTAGCTAGGTAGCCATTTACTCTCACTCTCACAAACTTAATTCAAAATCTGCTGCCATTTGTTTCCGATGTAATTAATGCGATAAACTTAAGTACCGAGCCCCATTTTTGCATGTATCATAAGTAGTGGTGGAAATTTATCTTTATCTACAGTTTCCCATCCCTAATGTGTGCCATGTAGGTACCTAATTACAGTTTATAGATAAACACTGATTTTGGAACAAGGACCAGTCTGTTAAACGAGGAATTCCGAAAACCTTTTGGTAGACATACCTGAAATTCGTATCGCACTTGAGGAAGATACCTAATTATCAACTTATTGGGGACCACACAAGAATGGTCAAATACGTATAAATAAGGTAGCTTACTTAAAAATTGTTGATTTCTTAGTATAGTAAATATTTTAGGGTTGCTGCAATAAACAGATCAAATTGGTCATTGGTGGGTCCATAGACGAAAATTCCTTTCGACAGCCAAAGAAGACGATAGTTTATTCGATAGAGGCTATACATAATCATTTTCGTGTATTTGTTTACAATTAAACAAGGATTTTGCGTGTTTTTCTCACACCTCGCCCAATAACGATCAAAATATGTACCATGATTTAAACTAGAGCAGAATAATTCAGTGGTTACTTTGTGGCAAATCAGATATTTTCCATTGTCAATGCGTCAGGTCGATTTCGATTACGTTAAAGGAAAAAATTGTATGTAAAGATTGTTTAGTCAGTTTGCTCAATATACATTAGACGCCGATCGATCACATTTACATGCTTTCAAACACTGCACGTTGAATTTCATACAATATTCTTCCTCAAACTCTGAAAGAAATTTCAATTGTTTTTTAATATCACGCTATTGAACTAGTAAAATCTGTAGGTACTGATTGTTATATACAGGATCCTCGAAAAAAAAGTGTACCCGATGCTGAACCTCGCCCTGAGATTATGCTGCATATATACTGCATAATAAAGCATATTTATTATTATTTATTATTAAGTATTAATGAAGAGTTTTAATCGAAACTAACCGTATAATACAGACAAAATGTTTGGGGTTTCATTATCATCTGACCTTGAAGTTGTAAGTGTGTGAGAGAAGCAATCGCTATAAATACTTAAAACGCAATTAATTTTTCTAGAAGTAAGCATTTTTGCCTGAAATTATTCTCTTTTAATCCAGTAAACATCACATTCGTTTAATGGGTTTCCATATAAGGAAACTTTTAACTTGACCTTGATCTCACACCTGAATATCATCATCACCTTGACACGCAACGTTTAAAGGGTGAGTAACCTGTGTGGATTTTGATCGGTAACTGGACTTGAATGGTTGGGGATGGACTTTGACCGTTCGGCAACCTTTAGACTTTATACGAATCCTTAGACTTTGACCGGAAACCTACTTTTAGATTTTAAACGGCGGGAATGGACTTTGTCTGACAACCTTTAGACTTACATCAGCGTTTGACCAGTCAGCAACTTCTGGCTTTTGAACAGCAGAGAAAAGACCTTTGGCCGGTCCGTAATCTATGGACTTTGATCGATTTGGACTTTAAACAGTGGTGATTTTGATCGATAGCTTGATCTACTTTCCAAAAGACCAGCGGAAATAACGTCATAATAC